AAGTCCTATTAAATGCATTTAGGTTATGTTAGTGACCTTAGACAAAAGGTTGTCTGTGCTAATCTTTTTTTGTAATGATCTCTGTGAGAGAAGATATACATAAATCCATACATACAAAAACATTCTGCTGCATAACACCGTAAATAATAATTGGCCAGAATATTACTGGTGGGCTTATTTTAACATGTGGTTTATGTGTACTCTCTAGCCTTGAGAAAAACAACTTCCTCTATGCTGGTCTTTATGCTAAGCCCTGAGTTGCATCACAATGATCAGACAATTGACAAAAAAAACATCTGATAAATATCAAGTGAAGTATTCATTTTATTTAACCATCTTAGAGCTCTACTAGATAAGACAAGGCAACTTGGCTGGAACTCTCAGCAGCCTGGTCTTAAGTAAATGTTTATTTAGGAAAGTTATAAATTTGTATGAATCCTGGCAAAAATCCTTTTGATTGTAAGCTTTTTTTGGGCACTCATTTCTTCACATATTGTTCCTGTTATTAGAATTAAACATTTGTCTTGATTACCGATGTGTACAGCGCTGAAAAATATGTTGGCAGTATATAAATAATTGTGATTGTAATCTGTCATAACTGCATTAATTACAAATTTGAAGTCAATGGGACCTTGATTTGGCACAACCCTTATTTAATTCAGTGAACAGTGTCAGAGATTTCTCAAAGTCTCACAGACATTTTTCCATCTAATTTCTGGCAAATTTTTTATTTATTAAATCTGGCAATTTTTTTTTAGCTGTTTTTTTGCACCTTAATCATAATTTTTTAATATGTGAATTTTTTTTCACTGAGGCCATGGATTCATTAATTTAATTGGCAGGAAAAATGCAACTCTTTTTCTATCGGAAAAAGAGATTTTTTTTCTGCCAATTTGAATTTGGTGGTCCTCTGAAATGTAAATTTTTGTAAAAACCATTGTAATTTACCATAAAAAACCCATCACTTTTTAAATCACCAATATGAATAACATAACAGAATCTAACCATCCCTTTTTGGAACACTTTGACAATATACCGCAGTGTCCTCCATATCCAACTTAAATCTGCCAACTTCAACCAAAGTTTCAGTGTATAGAACGTACATATTCTAGCAGTGTGATCTCCAGTGTAGATTTCAAATGTTCCTTAAGGATTTAGTGTCACGCCGGCTGTTGGCCGCACTTACCTCCGCCACAGCTGGCCAGGGATCAGGGGGAGACACAGAAAACGTCCAACACTGCGCGGCCAAGCCTTTTAAAGGCTCTGCCTCCAATTATGACACAAACGTGCATGTGACATCACACGCACACTTTGAGGTCATGTGATTGCAAATAGCCAATCACAGACTTCTTTAAATTATTTAAACATAGTTTGTTAGCTATACTATACCCTGACATGGTTTCCCATTGTGTATTGTCCAAGAGCTTATTTTCTAATTGATTCCTCTGTGTATTTGACCTTTGGCTCTTTTATTTGATTATTCTGATTTCAATTATCCTTGACCTTTGCTTGTTTTATCATTTACCCTTTCTCTATACTCCTGACATTGGCTTGTCCTGTTTATTTGAGTTTTTACGTTAAATTCCGACACTCTAAGGGGTAGTACATTTAGGGTTTTATTGTACTTTGCTGGTTACTTGGGTTCTGCGTGTTGGGTTTTAGTTAATCCTGACATCTAGTTAACCATTTAACTAATGTTTTTTCTCAGTTTGAAGAACTGTTTAGAGAGAGTCTAAACACATGGACATTTACACAGACCAAGTGTTCTTTATCTGCAATATATTTCATATTAATGTTTTAGATATATTTTATCAAATACAACATTCTTACTACATAACAAAAAAAGCAACTAATAATTTTTTGTGAAGTTTCCACAGCCAAGATAAATTCCAGTACTTTAAGAAATTATTTTATACATCAGGTTTTGGACACATGATGAGGTTAAGCAGAAGCCATTCTAAAACATCACAATAAACAGCATTGAGTTTTAATATAATTCATATGTGATTTCTGGAATAAACATAACAGACATTTTGTCTGTATCAAAGAAATGTGTCAGTTTGGCTATAAAATTAAAATATTACACTCCATTCTCTGCCAAATTGAATGTTTCTCTGATAGACTCTGATCTCACATGATCATATCCTAAAAGGGTGGGCAACATTCTATGGAATTAGCACTGCATCTAATAATTAGTGTTTTGTCACTGGACATATTTAGTGCAACATGCAATAGATTTTAATATGGGTGCAGAAATAGCTTATTATTTGTAGAATGTAGGTGACCAAGAAGATACTCTACAGTAGACATGTGCAATTTGTTTCATTCCAAATGTACATTTGGCCAAAATTTCGTGCAATTCGGACATTCGGATGCTTACTTACGAATTCGAATTGCCGAAGTTCCAAATTGCTTCGGATTTCTGAAAAGTGTCAAAACAAGTGGTTAGGTTTAGGGGCAAAACGAGTAGTTAGGGTTAGGGGTCCCTCCAAAATAGGGACACTTGGATGAATGCATCATTAGATGTTCACACTTTGCTGAATGGTGCAGGGCATTACCATCATACAGACAACACTTCAGCAACGCTGTGTGGGTGATTTACCTTACACGAAGCAGACGAGTGGGCCAGGGAAGGTTAAAACAATCTACTGTTGACATGATACATTTGTGACTGTCAATGTACGTCCCCCCAATAATGTAATGTTGATCATTGCCCACTCACCTACTCTTCAGACAGATATGGCCACTGATTTTGTAAACTCACATATCACATATCCAGTGAAACTGAAGATTTATCTTGAAATTTTTGTCAAATTATGTCAAACAGTTAATGTGTGAGTAAGAAGAAAATGCAAAAGAGCATCGTTGCTAAAATCAAAAAAAAAAGAGTCATGAATTTCTTTGTTGACCTGGCTTTATAAACATGTCGTGTGTAACTAGTTTAAAAAGTGCATAGAACAGAGAAGTCAATATATTAGATGGCGCTGTGTTATTATTATTATGATTTATAAAGTTTTTTTATTTTTTATTTGTAGGTACATTGTAAGTTAAACAGTAAGACTTGCAGGTCTAATCATTTATATAACATTTGCATAACATAAACAAGGAAAACTCGGGATCCATGAGAGAAATATACGTTTTGAAGACCCATTGGCTTGCCGGCTCATGTTATAATGGGACTCGCAGGTCCGAGTCGACTTTCTGGGGAGTATATTTAGTTAACCTCTCCCTACTTTAGGCTACATAAATGCTCACTTCTGCCATAACATTGAATTTATCACCTTAGTTTTTGTGAAACTCCAGGTTTCAATCTTAAGTGAAATCTTACACTTATTATGTAGCTTATATTAATTGCTCGGGGTCTAGTTTCCCCCCCATGACTTTTACCTATGGCAGAGCCCGAGTGTTGCTTAGTTTTCTCTGCACCACCTCTGTGGTGCCTGAATCCTTGTCCTTAGCTATTACGTGTTAGGTGTCGATGTTCTGTTGAAAATGGGCGTCTCTGTTGTGCGCGGGTGTGATGGGGTGTGTGTCTATCTAATTGCCATACGTTCGTTATGTTTTGCTATATTCCCGTCTAATTGCTAGGTATCCAAGGCACAGAGTGTCCTGGATCACTGTGCCACTGATCAGGTATCATTGTCTTTTGTCATTTTCCATCTTCTATTTCTCGTTTTGTTTATCCTTATTACTCTCCTAGTTTATTATGCTATTTGTCTGTCTCATAATTAGCCCGTCTGGCCTCAATCCCGGCACCCCTAGGCCCAGGCCCTGGAAGTCTGGTAGGGGGGTAAGGAAAGGGTTAGGAGCAGGGGGTAATGGGCAATCAGGATATGTGGGGTGTGATTCCTCCCGTAAGGCTCGCGTCAGTCGATACCCCTGCCGTGTTTCCCGGTGCGTCTCCCTCACGCCGGTAACGGGAGATTTATAAGAACCATGGCATCCACAGCTCTGCATGCCTGCTTCCTCGTCCTGTCAGGGTAGCATGTGCTTCTTCTGCTCCCTGAATATCTTCTACTCTGCGAATCCACTCTTTTCTAGTAGGTACTTCACTCTTTTTCCAGTGGGCTGGTATGTTGGCCTTGGCGGCATTAAGCAGGTGTCGTAATATCTATTTCTTGTACGACGATATGGGTTGTGTAGAGATGTGTAACAATGCCAATTCCGCATTCCACTCCGGTAGGTCTCCAAGGATAAGCTTCACTGTGTCCCTAATCATTTCCCAATCATTTGATATCGCTGCACTCCCACCAGATGTGTAGCACCGTGCTGCGTCTTTCCTGGCACCTCCAGCACACCTGGGGAATTGATGGGAATATTCGGTGTAGTAAAGTTGGTGTTCTATACCATAGGGAGAGCAATTTGTAATTCATTTTCTGGTAATAGGAACTCAGAGCGCTTATGCTGCCACAACATCGCTTTATCCCATTGCTGGGTTGTGAGTGATTTTCCGAGTTGTTCCTCCCATTGCCGTTTAAAGGTCGTAGCCATAGGCGTGCCTCCGATTAGTAGATGTTGATATAGTGCCGAAATTGCGTGTTCTAGTGAGGTGCCTTGGTCGCAGAGGACTTCAAACCACGTAAGGTCTCTATGTAATCGATCATTGTGCGGTAGTGATTCATAGAAATGTTTCAGTTGTAGGTATCTAAATTGGAGGAGAGGGATTCGTGGCCTGTCTCCTAATAGCGAGGGAAGATCCCGCAGTCTCCCGTCCTCGAGGGCCTTATGTATGGGTATGTATGCACTAGTACTCAGGATGGGCCATGCTCCAGAAGGGAGCCCTCCCCCTATGGCTTCATTAAGCGTGATCGGCATCATTGGACTGGTTATGGGGGATATGTGGTCTTGTGTCCTCAGTGTCTTCCAACTATGTAAAGTCTGTAGGACCATCCCCTCATTGTCATTATGAGTTGTTTGTCTTCCAGATCTTCCCCAGATCTTCGCCTCCATTGTTGGTCCAATGAGGCCTCTGTCAAGCTCCACCCACTGTTTAGTCATTTGTGCCAAGTGCCAGTCCAGTATACGTTGCATGATCGTTGCTTGATGATATTTCTTAAAATCAGGCAACGCTAGCCCTCCGTAAATTCTAGGTCGGCATATGTTGTGTCGAATCCTAGATTGTCGTCCTCGCCATATAAATCTAATCACCGCCGTTTTCAGGGCGGAGAAGAAGGTCGCTGGTATTGCGAGAGGTATAGTCTGCATGAGGTATAGGATCCTCAGGAGTAAATTCATTTTAATCACCGCGATTCTTCCATGCCATGTTACATGCGGATATGACCATCTGGACAGGTCTGCGAGGATGTTCTTTAATAAGGGTGTAAAGTTGTGTTGATATAAATCTTTCGGGTCCGTGGTCACCCAGATGCCCAGGTATTTCATCTTGCCGCGACACCAGTGGAACGCGAATTGCAATTCTAAAGACAGGAATTCCTCTGTGGGGAGTGTTTTGTTCAAGACCTCACATTTCAAGATGTTAAGCTTGAATCCGGATATCTGTCCGAATCTATCAAATTCTGAAAGGAGACATAGCAGTGTGATTCTGGGGTTGCGGACAAAGAAAAGGAGGTTGTCCGCGTATGCAGCCACTTTATGTTGCACTCCCTGCCATTCATATCCCTGTATGTCCGGATTTTGGCGGATTGCCTGTAACAGTGGCTCCAGGGTCAACGCGAACAGCAACGGTTAGAGTGGGCATCCTTGTCGGGTTCCGTTGCTGATCGCAAAATCAGCGGTCGTGGCCCCATTGCGCGCGGTCTGCTATACAGGGCAGATATCCACGTAAGGAGTCTCTGACCGCAGCCCAGCCGTCTCAGTGTCGCCAGCATGTATGTCCAGTTGACCCGGTCAAATGCTTTTTCCGCATCGGTTGATAGCAGTAGTAACTGGGTCCCCAATTTCCTTGCGTGGTGCTGGATAGAGAAGAGTCTTAGGGTGCTGTCTCTAGCTTCTCAGCCTGGGATGAATCCAGTCTGGTCCGCGTGTATCAAATCGGGAAGGAGATGTTTAAGTCTGGTTGCTAGAACTTTCGTGAATAGTTTGGCGTCTACGTTTAACAGTGAGATCGGGTGGTAACTGCCGCACTGTAACGGGTCCTTCCCTGGTTTAAGTAAAACTGTGATGGTGGCTGCTAGGGATTCCCTTCCCAGGTTCCCTCCCTCGCCTACAGAGTTGAGTGCCTTGGTCAGCCAAGGCAGCAATACTCCCGAAAAGCTTTTATAATAGCCCGTGGAGAAGCCATCTGGCCCAGGAGCCTTGCCGGTTTTGGATGTCTTAAGGGTTGCGGCTAGTTCTTCCGTGGTGATTGGTGTGTCCAATATGGATGCAGTGTCCTGGTCGATCGTGTTCATGACCGTTGTGACAGGACCATCTGTCTGTTTATTGCTGGTGGATTCGTCTGTTTTGCCCCGTTCGTGTAAATGGCTGTTTCTTATAGCCCAGCCATACGAATGACCGTTTTTCCCGAACAGAACCACCGAACGTGCTGCTGGTTAACCTATTGATCCCAATTAGAACGTTGTGGTTAACCGCAGACACTTTTCAATTAAACCGAATTCAGGGTGGTCGTCGTTCGTATGTCGACCACGAGGCAGCGGCCATTTTAAAACACGCGAAAGCCCAGCGGTGTTCGGCTCTATTTTCATGGAACTAAAAACGGACACTTTTTCTGCCGAACACCGCTGAAACAACGGAACGCCTGGCTACCTCCACGAAAGCATACGAACACCAGCCGTTCGGGAGTTTTGTAACACATGAAAGGACTTAACCCAGATAGCCTTCCCATGGAGTCAATCGCATACCGAAAGACTGTAAGAACTTTGACTCCATGGCGATTGAACTATGTGTGTGGGATCTGAGCGCTATTCGCTAATAATATGCACGCAGATCCAGGCTATCTGGGGATATGTGATACGAATGGGAAATGTTCGGTTATTGTAAAGTTATGAATTTTAATGTATTTTCTGGTTTTATATTTAAAATGGCGACTGGCTTTGTCCTGGAGATAATTGAGTTACTTCTTAATTATCTCCAGGGCAGAGGGGAGGAAACCCTAGTGCATTGTGGGGAAAAACTGTGACTGTATGTCTGAAATGTCCCCATGTCTATCTGTCATTACAGTCTCCCATTTGGTCCCCTAGGGGAGTGTCCACCAAGTGGGAGACCTGCATAAATACGGGCAGGTAGCCCACAGTAAAACCAGATCCTGTTTGACCCTCAATGCGGAGCTTCTGTCTTTTTATTGGGGGGGATTTCTTCTTTGCGTTTAGAGACTGCTGGATGGAACCGAAAGCCGCTTGGTGGATGTTGTTGTTCGGCGGCTAGCAGCAGTTCGTGGATTTCCGTTCGGGAGTTTGGAGCCATTCACGGATCCTGGTCGGGAGATTGCCGCTTCCCCTGAGCTTGGTTCGTACACTGCAGTTTATGCGAACGGAGATTATTAATATTTCAGAAGGGGAAGGCTGACTAAACGGCGGTTTTGTTTAAAGACACCAGGGGTGTCTTAACAACCGTGTCAGACAGGAAGTACTGTATCTATCCTCGCGGCCTCGGTGTCCCCGTTAGGTGTGTACAGATTATAGAGGTTCTCGGAAAAAGTCCTAAACTCCCCTGCAATCTTCTGCGGGAAGGGAGAGACCTCCCCCGAGGCCAGGCGTATCTTACATATTTGCCTATGGGGCAAGGGGCCCTTCAGTAGTCTCGCTAGGTATTTACCTCCTTTATTAGCGTGTACATAATAAAAACCTTTCGTGCGTTGTACGGATCGGAGATGTCTTTTCATAATAAGGTCTTTAAGTTTTCTTCTGTGTTCCTTTAATTCTCCGTAGACTGCGTTTAGCTGGGAACGTTTATGTTGACGCTCTAGGGTCGAGATTGAGCGATATAAATCGATCATTTCAAGCATGAGCGCCTTCCGCTTCTGCGAAGCAATGTGTATGAGTGTGTCGGGGATCACGCTCTTGTGAGCTTCCCATACGGATATTGGGAAGGTCTCCAGGGTGTCATTTTCTCTAAAGTATTGTTCTAATGCTTGATGAATTTGTTCCTTGGTGTCCGGGTCTAGCAGTAGAGCTTCATTAAGTCTCCAGGTCCATGCCTTCGGTCTGTACAGTGGGGAGTCCAGTTCCATCTAGACCGATCCATGGTCCGACCAAGTGGCCGGTGTGATCTCGGCTCCGAGTAGGTGGGAGAGACCTTCCTGTGTGATGAGGAGATAGTCTATGCGAGAGTAACGGTTGTGAAGGGCAGAATAGTAGGTGAAGTCTTTCAACGTGGGGTGAAGCGTTCTCCAACAGTCCACCAGTCTCAGAGCATCCATCGACTGTCGGATGGAACTGATGCTGTGTTGTGGAAGACAACTATGACCCGTTGAGGAATCCAGCATTGGGTCAAGCGGGGCGTTAAAGTCGCCTCCTACCAATAGTATCCCATCTGTGAAGTCTTCCAGTTGATGTAAAGTATTTTGGAGGAAAGGGGCCTGCCTCCGGTTGGGCACATAGATGGTCGCTATTGTATATATCTTATCTGCTATAATGCCCTTAAGGAAGAGATGTCTTCCCTGTGAGTCCTGTATTCGTTCTAATTCTTTAAATTCCAGCTCAGCCGCTAGTATTATGGCTACTCCAGATTTATGGGCCATTGGATGGTTGCAGAAGTAATTATTTGGGTAATGTCTATTCCGTAGTCTAGAGTTGACCCTTCCTTGAAGTGCGTCCCTTGGAGCATAGCTATCGCTACATGTTTTTTCCTCAATTCTCGTAGCAAGTATGTCCTACGTCCAGGGATGTTGAGTCCTCTGCAATTCTGTGTGATAATCTTCAAAGGTGCGTTTCGGTAGGCCATGTTTTCTATGCATGTTGGTTATGATTCCGGGCTAACGTGGGGTCCGGGGGTTTCTCCGAACTTCCGGTAATTCCGGGGAGGTCACGTGTCCGGGGCACTGGTTAGTCCGATGCGTGGAGGGAGGTAAGGAAGGGGATGGGAGAGGGGGAGGAATGGTAATGGGGAGGGAAAGAGAAGGAGATGGGAGTTCTAGCAGATGCTTTGAGTAGGGAGTCCGGGGCCCGGTTCCCGGGGTGCGGGGCCAGCTGTTTTGTGTAGAGTTTAAAAGGAGGTGTGTACCCTGTTTGTGGGTATCCTCACAGATTTTGTATCACGAATCTAGACCCCCTCTAGGAGAGGAGGGGGGTTCTCGCGTAGTAGCCAGTGCCAGTAGGGGCTGGCTCCAGTACCAGCCCAGGACTCGAGGGTCCCCGCCGTCTGGCCACACACCTTTTAGCACAAGTGTTTTTGTTAAGGAACGCGACTCGAGCTCCGCCCAGGTAAGGGATCAAAAATAGATATGGGGCTCTCCGCTACACCGCATCACCCAAGGTCAGAGCCGAATGGACAGTAACATCTCGTGTATAGCGTGCATTCACTTTAAAGGCATATAAGCATTAACATCAATTTAACATATTTATCATACAGTGAGCCTAAAGTAGCATTCCTTTATCCAGTGGATCCCGTCATTCCCCATTTTCCCCCCTAGTCGGTGGGTTCCCACCCAGCATCCGCCAGCTCCAATCGCCCCAATCCAACCCCTCGGCTCATTATGTGAGTGTTAGTCTCCCTTGATCCAATAGTGGTATAGTGCCCTGTTTTGTGGTCCCCTGTCTCATCCTATGTGGTCCCTCTGGTCTCCTGATCTAGCAACTATTTATAGGTTACGTGTTACGAGCATTGCGTACTCCATTTATTGCTCCTTCGGTCCCTTTGGGGGGGGGTACGTGTATGAGTGAAACCATGAATGCTTGTGTGCCATTGGGGTGGTTGCTGTTTTGGGCGTTTGTGTATGAATAGACAAGAAGATATAAATGAGAGTTTGTGGCGTCCGCGTGACTAATCCTTTTTCTAGCTGCATGTATATATGTGGTAGCTATCAATGAGGCCTAGGTCATGTCGGGTATCAGTATGTTAATATGGAGAATAATCCAGGCACTCTAACAGGTTCCAAGATTAAGGCAATTGATTTGAAGCAGGGACTACACAGCAAATTTTCAGCACTATCAGGGCTTTTATCAAGCTAATGCAGCACATACAAAATTCACAATATAAAGGTATATACAATAATTTAACAAGTGAACAAACATGTGATACAATAATTGACTACACACATTATCAATCAATAGTGATACATATCTAAATAAAAGGTTAATTGTCTCTCCAATAATCATCTTCATACCTGGGGGTGTCAAAGGGACCAGGAAACATCAGCCAATAAAATCTCACATTTATCAATCACTAAATTAAATTAATTCATTAGACACAGGTTATGTCTAATCGCTTTTAATACCTTTTAATCTGTTTTGTTCGGAATGATTGTTGCTTCTATTAACCAGGTCAGCTACTACTTGGCTCCATATTATCACTGCAGATCATATTTCCAGCTGCAAAGGTGAGGAGTCTATGAGTATCCTACTGCTGTTACCTTGTGTACACTATGTGCTTAGAGATGAAGGCGTGATATTTAATAGAAAACTAAAGTTATCATAGCAGGAGCACTACTGAAGATGAGATCACGAGAGGGAGAGCTAAAAGAGGGCAAGGAAGAAAGAGAGCTGGGGCATTATACAGAGACATCTACTGTGTTTGCGTATCCCTGTTTTGCAGCTCTGTGTAATCCATCACAGTGATCCTGGCTGTGTGGGGTAGTTATGTTTTATCCTTATTGTGCCCCGCTCTGTGTTGGTTTTTTTCTCTGTATTTTACACAGCTCTACCTGTTGTATGGGTTTCTCTGCAGTCTACCCAGCTCCATGTTTTGTATCTCTATTTTTTTCTCAGCTCTGTTTATGATATGGTTATCTCACATTGTATTTGGCTCTGTGTAATGTATAGATATTTTTGTGTTAGGCCCAAGTTGTTTTATTGCATTAGCATCTCTGTATTGTGCACAGCTCTCTATCCTAAAACTTCACCAGTGTGGTATATTCTACACATAAATGTTTTGTTTAGTTAAAATGTTTTATTAGAAATGAGAAGCCATTTTTGACACATCCTCTTGTATTGGGGCATACGTACAATATCTGCATATTTAGTAGCCACGAGTGGGGGGTGTCTGGACAGTCTATAGTGATTCACCATCACTTGGGCAGATTACAGACGTACAGCAGATAGCTCCACCTCCACACAACTCAGCAGCTTACAAATTCACAGGGGTAAGTACTTGATATAGACATCTAGTTTGTGGTACATCTGCTTTACCATACATATTGGAGGCCTGTAGTAGTTGCATTATCCAATTGAAAACCCACAGATTTTGTCCTCTTTTTGGTCTGTGTATTGGACCGCTTGCCTACACCAAAACAAGTATGGTATTTTAATTCACACATTTCTCTTTGGCTTGATTGCATTCCCTGTTGCCATGGCAACCTCCCCCACAATTGTGCATGCCCAAGGGTATTGCTGTACTTTTTATCAGCATATATTCATGTACATATGCTTGTTTAACTTTGTCCCAATTAAAGATTTTGTATGAATCTTAGATGTTTACGGAACAATAAACGTTAAGTTTTATGTTGCGCAAGAAATCCATTTTAATGGTCCATTTTCTGAAACCAGACATGTTATAAAACAATGAAAGTTCCTCAAGATTTGTGATAATTTCTCAACCAAAGTCCCAAATTCAAGGAGTGCATTTCTAGAATAGATGAAACTATTCAGAAGCCAAGTTGTTGCTAAAAGAAATTCTAATCTTTGAGGAAAATCCTAGCTAAAAGGAATTTGGAAGTCAAAAGTGACATGCAGGAGCCTGGTAGCTGAACAAACAACTAGTGAAATTTTAACAGCCTGTTCTGTCTGAGAAAGTAAACCTTAGGGTAAGCAGCAAACAATAATTAGCAAATGAATTAATATTGTGCTGATTAAGCTAATTTCTTGGAATTTCAAGTACCCCTTTTCAGAGTGAAACACCCCATTCACTTTCCTTCTCTCTTAACAAAGTATCTGAAAGCCTTTGTATTTTCCTAGGAAATTTGAATAAAGAAAAAGGCTCATATGACCTTCTAAACTTAAAGTGCATTTTACACGCCTGGACGCCCAGCTACAAAATAACCTGGGAGAGGGAGAAAGATCCTCAATAAAGCAGCCAAACAGTGGGGGTAGGGAAAAATTGTAATGGGATATGCAAGTGGGGGTCTGATTTACATGGAAATTGCCAAAACCATGGGTTAGATTTAGCATCGCATGCCAACATAAAACACACAAAAAAATAACATGCTCTTTGTTATTGTTAAAATGCTGACTATGAAATGTCTTTTTTGTTCCCTTGATGCTACAATATAACATTCCTGTTATTATTAGCAGGGAATTTTAACAGCCTTGCACTGACAGCAATTATGTTACGCACACACAAAACAATAGTCTCACATCACAAATCATTCACCTCTCTCATATTCCACATCTTTGCTGGCTGGATTTCATGGTCTGGTAATTCTGTGTGACCCCTGTTGCACCATTGTTCGTAAACCGGTGTTTAACAGTTAAAAAAAAAATACATATATATGTATATATATATATATATATATATATATACATTTAAACAAGCTAATTTAAAAAAGATCAGAGCTCAGTGAAAGAAGCAATTACAAAAAAATAAAACTATTTTTGAAAACAAAAATTTTAGTAATAGTGTTGAAAAAATATTTTGATATGCTTTATTTATATTACATATACATTCTGTTAGCAAAATAAATAACCAACATGACCACTGATTAAATTTCTTTTTCAAATATGTGGTATGCTTGCACTATGACAACTAGAAACCACATGAACCTCATCCCAATACCTTGCCATTTACTCTCAATTACAAACATTCCGTGTGCACTCTGGAACGTCTGCTCTGTCTGCAGCAATCTGAAATCAGTCATACACAACCTTTTTATCTCAAATTCTCTCACCCTAATAGCACTCACAGAAACCTGGCTGTCCCCCTCTCATAACACTACTCCTGCCCCTTTTTGTTTCAGCGGGCTACAATTGTCCCATACTCCCAGACTCAACTGTAAAGGAGGCGATCTATGCTTCCTTCTCTCACCTTAATGTACCTTTCAACCAATTGTCCCTGCCCTATCTTTTCCTTCCTTTGAAGTTCACACTGTCCACCTAATTAAATCCCCTCCTTTAAGAATTGCCATTTATCGCCCCCCTGATCATCCTAGGCTATTCATTGAACACTTCTTTTCCTGGCAACCCCACTTCCTCTTCTCTAGCACACCTTCCCTTATATTTGGGGATTTCAATATCCCAATCAACGACCCCAACTGCACTGACGCCTCTCGTATAGTCTCTGTAATCTCCTTCTTGGGCCTCATGCAATGGTCTAACTCAGTGATGGCTAACCTTGACACCATAAATTGTTTCTGGACTACATTTCCCATGATGCTCAGCTAGCTTTTAGAGTGTAAAAGCTAGCTGAGCATCATGGGAGATGTAGTCCAGAAACAATTTGTGGTGTCAAAGTTAGCCATCACAAGTCTAATTTATCAACCCATACAGCGGGAAATACTTCGGACCTCGTCTTTACCAATCTCTGTACCGCCTCTAATCTCTCCAATGTTCCTTTTTCTCTATTTGACCATAACCTGCTGACCTTTGACATAACCATACCCAATAGCCAAATTACACAACCCTCAGCACATCAGTCTTGCAGAAACCTCAACTGTCTTGACCTA